AGACTGACCTCCTCCCACTCGTGACAGACAGACGGACCCCCTCCCTGGCTGGACTGACCTCCTCCCACTCGTGACAGACAGAGAGACCCCCTCCCTAGACAGACCAATGTCATCCCACCTGTGACAGGCAGATAGACCCCCTTCCTGGATGGACCGACCTCCTACCTGCAAGAGGCAGGTAGACCCCCACCGCAGATGCACTGACCTCCTCCCACTCGTGACAGACAGATAGATCTTCACCCCTGGCCTGACCGACCTCCTCCCAGCTGTGACAGATGGACAGACAGATCCCTATTCCAGACAGACCCGGGACAGATGGACACTGCTTTGGTGACAGCAGCTCAGGGCAGCGTTTGCCCTTTTTCTCCCTCTGTTTTACAGAGAGAACAACGGAGATCGGGCGGCTGATCAGCTCCTACCTGGGGAAGGAGAAGAACCTGGAGGACCACACCGTTCACCTGCTTTTCTCCGCAAACCGCTGGGAACACGTGTAAAGATCACCTTCATTTAGTTTGTAAAAGAAAAAGGCGTGGCCTTGAATCCTCCCCTGGGGTTTTAGCTTGCAGTGGGCACAGTAGGTACGAGAGTGCGATCCTATTTAGGAACAGAAACACAGATGGAAAAAAATGTCTCAAGGACTATTACATCTTTGGATTTAATCTCAGGTCAAATCCCACAGTTTGGGGTTTTTTTTAAATCATTAGGTGCAATATTTCCAATCCCTGCACTGTACTGGATTCAAGAATCGGGAAGGTGAGACTGTACCAGCCTAGTGTGTGAATTTACGGTCCTGAACAAGGAGACCTTGCTTTGCAAGGAAGCCCATGTGAGTGACAGAGTGGTTAAGGATTCCTGTCCAAATGTCCCCTCTAGCTGAAGGCTGCGGTCAGCCGTAAGGGGCTGTCCCTGCTTTTGGCTTAGCTGAATCTTTGCATGTGGAGTTAGGGAACTCCCTGTCACCTGTTGTTTTTACCTGGAAATCTATATTGCCAAATGTTTTTAATTTAAAAAAGGAGGGGAAAAAAAATAAAAAAGCATTGCTGATTCTGCTGTTGTGGCGGTGCCAAAGAAACCGGGAAAGCGGAAGGCAGATGAGTGAGCTGTAATAAGAAATGTCATTGTTGTGAATAAAGCACACTTTTCTCTTTCCAAGGCAGAGTGTATCACAAATCTACTGCACCACTTGAAAAGGGAAGAGCACTGTTCAAGGCTGAATGTAGTTCAACTGTGATCTTGCTTGTAAGCCGTGGAGCTGCCTAGAGCGGTGCCCGGCACTGGGGCACCCTGAGCTTGGCTGTCTTGAAAGGGTGTTTGCTTAATGTCTGTTAGAGGACAGAATACAAATAGCTATTTATCCATGATTCACACCGCTAACGATCACTGTTAATGATGAAATATGTCAACAGAGAAGTCCCTCATGAGGTGCGTTTTAGATGAACTCCTTTAATTAGTATCACTATAAAGGAGCATAACTCTTGTTTTGTTTTTTTTGTTTTGTTTTTTTGTCTCCCACGTGGTTTTCAGACCGTTGATGAAAGAGAAACTACATGAAGGGATCACGCTTGTGGTTGACAGATACGCCTTTTCTGGAGTGGCCTTCACAAGTGCCAAAGAGGTGAGTGAGACCCGCAGCAACCCCTGCCCTCTCTCTATTCGGAGAAACGTCTCCAGTTAGAGGCCCGATACAGATATCGGTGTGCATGGCCCAGGCTCCTCCTCTGGGGCAATGAGGATTGAAATTGAGGGATGGAAATTCCAGCTCAGGCATTGACAGGGTCTGTTTGCTTTCCTCAGAAAGTGTAGAGAAACTAATTTGGTTACTTTTTGTGAGTGTGGACAGAATCCTGGCTGTGGCGAAGCTGGCTTTATTTATTTTTTTTTTTATTATTTATTGTGACTTATATTTGGGATATTTTCCATGCTTGCTCTGGCTGCTGGTCTGTAAATTTGCAACGAATAACAGAGCCACGTACGTTGGAAGGGACCTGTGGAAGTCACAAAGCCTAACCTCCTGCTCAAAGAGTAGGTCTAACGTCAGGCAGGCTGCTCAGGGTCACATCCAGCTACAGTCTGGATATTTCCTATGTTCTCACCTGTGCCGTTTGGCCCGTGTCTGTTTGCCTTCAAGACAAGTTCAGCTCTGTTAGCCTCCCTCTGGGTCTGTCGTGGCCGGCAATGAAGCACCGCGCAGCCGCTCGCTCGCTCCCCCTGCAGCGGGATGGGGGAAAGAATCGGAAGCGAAAAAGAACTTGTGTTTTGAGATAAAGACTGTTTAATAAGCAAAGCAAAAACCGCGCGTGCAAGCAAAGCAGAATAAGGAATTCATTCACTGCTCCCCACGGGCAGGCGGGTGTTCAGCCATCCCCAGGAAAGCAGGGCTCCATCGCATGTAACGGTTACTTGTGAAGACAAGCGCCATTGCTCCCAATGTTCCCTTCTTCCTTCTTCTTCCCCATCTTTATATGCTGAGAATATTCTTTTGTTCAGCTGCGGTCAGCTGTCCTGGCTGCGTCCCCTCCCAACTTCTTGTGCCCCCCCAGTCTACTCGCTGGTGGGGTGGTGTGAGGAGCAGAAAAGGCCTTGACGCTGTGTGAGCACTGCTCAGCAATAATGAAAACGTCTCTCTATTATTAACACCGTTTTCAGCACAAATCCAAAACATAGCCCCATACCAGCTACTTTGAAGAAAATTAACTTTTTTCTAGCCAAACCCAACACAGGGCTATTATACACGGCTGTAAGATCCTCCTGAGTGTTGTGCTCATTCTTGTGCTCTGAGGCGGCTGTCCTGGAAGATCAGCCAGCTCTTCTGGCCTTCTCTGCTTTCCATGTGAGCTTCCCCGGGCATCCTGCTAAGAGATCCCTAATAAACAGAAGTCTGCTCTCCTGACATCCATGCTGGTGATTCTGTTTGTCTTGTTGACTCCTCTCCAGATTCTAAAGCACCGTCTCCTGTTTGCTGCAGGCAAGGCTGCCCTTGACCTTCATTCACATCTTCATGGAATCATAGAATTGTCTAGGTTGGAAGGGTTGTGCAGGTTTAAGATCAAGTCCAATCATCAACCTAACACTGCCAAAACTGCTACTAAACTACGTCCCTCAGCACCATGTCTATCTGTCTTTTAAATACCTCCAGAGATGGCAACTCCACCATTTCCCTGGGCAGCCTGTGCCAGTGCTTGACAACCCTTTTGGTGAAGAAATTTTTCGTAATATCCATCCTAAACCTCCATCCTAAACCCTAGGTGCAGTACTCTACACTTGCCCTTGTTGAATTTCATTAGGTTCCTCTCCACCCAACTCTCCAGCCTGTCCAGGTCACGCTGAATGACAGCACAGCCTTCTGGTGTGTCGGCCGCTCCTCCTCGTTTTGTGCCATCAGCAAACTTGCTGATGGTACGCTCCATCCCTTCATCCCGGTCATTGATGAATATATTGAACAAGACTCGACCCAGTACTGATGCCCAGGGAACACCGCTAGTTACAGACCTCCAACTGGACTCTGAGCTGCTGATCACGACCCTCTGAGCTCTGCCATTCAGCCAGGTCTCCATCCACCTCACTGTCCACTCATCCAACCCACACTTCCTAAGCTTACCTATGAGGATGTTATGGGAGACTGTGTCAAGAGCCTTGCAGAAGTCGAGGTAGACAACATCCACCGCTCTCCCCTCATCCACCCAGCCAGCTGTTGCTATCACAGAAGGCTATCAGATTGGTCAAGCATGATTTCCCCTTAGTGGCTCTATGTTGACCGCTCCCGATAACCTTTTTTTCCTCTACATGCTTAGAGATGACATCCAGGATGAGCTGTTCCATCACCTTTCCGGGGCTGGAGGTGAGGCTGACCGGCCTGTAGTTTCCTGGGTCCTCCTTGCCCTTTTCAAAGATTGGCGTGACATCAGCTTTCCTCCAGTCCTCAGGCACCTCTTCTGTTCTCCATGACCTTTCAAAGATGATGGAGCGCGGCTTCGCAATAACACCTGCCAGCTCCCTCAGCACTCACGGGTGCGTCCCATCAGGGCCCATGGATTTGTGGGTGTCAGGTTTTCCTAAATGATATCTCTAACCCGATCCTCCTCGATCAAGGGAGACTCTTCCTTACTCCAGGCTCTGGGGTTCCTGAGGGACAGCCTTAGCAGTAAAGACTGAAGCACAGGCAGCATTCAGTAACTCCACCTTCTCTGCATCCTCCATCACCAGGGCACCCACCTTGTTCAGCAGTGGGCCCATGTTTTCCCTGGTCTTCCTCTTACTACTTGAAGCAGCCCTTATTGTCCTTGACATCCCTTGCCAGGTTTAACTCCAAGCGGGCCCTGGCCTTCCTCGTTGCATCCCTGCATGCTCTGACAATGCTGCTATACTTCTCCCAAGTGGCCAGGCCCTTTTCCACATTCTGTAAACTTCCTTCTGCCGTTTGAGTTTTTCCAGAAGCTCTTTGCTCATCCATGCAGGTTTCTTGCCGCCTTTGCCTGATTTCTTGCTCCTAGGGATACACCGATCTGGAGCTTGGAGGAAGTGGTGCTTGAATATTAACCAGCTCTCCTGCACCCCCCTTCCTTCTAGAGCCTTTGCCCATGGGATTCCTCCGAGCGGATTTTTGAAGAGGCCTCATTCAGCTCTCCTGATGTCCAGGGTTGTAATTCTACTTTTTGCCTTGCTTCTTCCACGCAGGATCCTGAACTCCACCATCTCACGGTCACTGGAGCCAAGGCTACCCCCAACCTTCACATCCCCAACTAGTCCTTTGTTTGTCAGCACAAGGTCCAGCGGCGCACCTCTCCTCCTTGGTTCCTCCACCACTTGTGTCAAGAAGTTATTGTCGATGCTCTGCAGAAACCTCGGGGAGGTGTGTGCCTGGCTGGGTTGTCTTTCTAGCAAATGTCAGGGTAGTTGAAGTTCCCCGTGAGAACCAGGTCCTGTGAGCGTGAGGCTATTTCCAGCTGGCTGCAGAAGGCCTCAACGACTTCTTCTTCCCAATCTGTAGTAAACACCCACAACAGTGTCTCCCGCATTAGCCTGCCCCTTAATTCTTACCCATAAGTTCTCAACACATTCTTCATCCACCCCTGGGCAGAGCTCAACACATTCCAGTTGCAACTCCACCATCACACCCTGCTGGCCTGTTTTTCCTAAAAAGCACATTGCCATCCATGGCAGCGTTCTGGTCATGTGAGCTGTCCCACCGTGTCTCCGTAATTGCAGTGAGATCATGGCCCCATAACCGCACACGGATCTCTGGTTCTTCCTGTTCATTCCTGCGTAATGGCTTCCAGCTCCTCCTGTTTGTTCCCCGTTCATTTCGGTTGGGCTATTGGTCCTGCTACCTTTTGACTGGGAGAAGCCCTAATTCCTGCCTCACCCTTCCCAGGCACGGCTGAAATTTCTAACCCATCAATGATCCTCACATCTCTGCTGCTGTGTGGATCTCCATCCCCTACCTTCTCTGAGCCAGCAGACCAAGGGACTAGCAGACTAGCATCCTGTCCCCCAGACATTGTCATGCCACCCCATGGCTTATCTGTAAAGAGCCTGGTGTCATCCCCTGCCCCCTCCAAATCTAGTTGAAAGCCCTTCCGATGAGCCCTGCCAGCTCCTGTGCCAAGAACCTTCTCCCCCTTTGAGACAGTCCCCAGCAGGCCTGCGGTCACATAAACGGCCCCGTGATCCAAAAAACCCAAAGTCAACCAGGCTCGGAGCCAAGTATTGATCTGCTGGCTCTTCCTGCTTCTACCCACCTCGTTCCCTGCAACCGGAATGATAGAGGAGAACACTACTTGTGCTTCTGATCCCTTAACTAGTCATCCCACAAGTCTCCCTTGATCGTCCGTGGGTTTCTTGTTGCCAGTTTATTGCTGCCTGTCTGAAAAATGAGTAATGGGTACTCATCTGAAGGACACACCAGGGAAGGAAGGTTTCTCTTTATGCCTCTAACCCAGGCCCCAGGGAGGCAGCAGACTTCCCTAAGAAGTGGCTCCGGTCTGCACATTGGGCCTTCTGCTCCCTTCAGGAGGGACTCACCTATGACAATGACCCATCTTTTTTCCTTTACTGAAGAGGTTTTGATGCGGGCTGGAGTTTGGCTTAACCTCAGTGCCGCCTCCCCGCACATTGAACCATCGCCCTTGTCGTGGGTCGGTTCCGCTTCCAGAGCCTCGTACCCCCCAACCCTTGACAGACTGACCTTCGACCTCCACCTTGAGAAGGTGGGGGAGTTCCTGGGGAGACACACCTGCTTCGCTGGGCAGGAACGTGTTCCCATTGTCCCCTGTCCTCTAAGTTACCTGGTTCAGCCAGGCAGAGAGGACAGGGAGTCCTCTGTATCACGCGCCCTGTTGGGCCTGGAAGGGAGGGTGCGACTCCAGCAGTCCATCTCCCTCTCGAACTCCCCGATAGTTCCCAACGTACTCACCTCCTCCCAGAGCTCCATCACCGGGCAGAGGAGTTCCTCTCTCTGGGCACAGCTCCCACCGGCGTTCCCACCGCTGCCCTCTGACACTGGCCCCAGCGCCGGGCGCAGCGTGCAGCCTGACAGCGGGGTGGCAGCGTTGCTCCCACCAGAGCTCCGGCCGGGAGCTTCTTCGTCCAGTTCTTTCTTGTTTGTGAGTAACGAACGCAGCGGGGCGCTTCCCCTCACTGGCTATCAATCACCACGTCGAGAATTTCTTCAGCGTGCTCCAGAAACCTGGAGTGCTTGTGCCCAGCAGATAGGCGGGTGGTTGAGATCCTGCGTGAGTACCAGGACCTGCAATTCTGATCCTTCTTCCGGCTGTCTAAAGAAGGTTCATGGGCATCCTCTCTTCAACCAGGCAGTCTGTTGCAGGCCCCACCCTGACACCGCACGCGTTACTCTGCCCTGCTTTCAGGTGAGCCTCCATTATCCTATTATCCCCCAGATGTTTCTTCCTGGACTCCCACCTTCCGTTTTCTGCGGATTGCAAACCTTCCTCTGATGTGCCTACGTTAAAGCTCTCTTCTCGGGCTTACCGAGCCTGTTTCCATAGACACTCTTGTCCCGCTCCATCAGATGCATCCCATCCCTTCTCAGTAGCCATCGATCCTCAAAGACCCTCCTGTGGTCGTAGAAGCTGAAGCCCCACCTGCCACACCAGCTCTGCAGCTGATAGTTGACCTACATTCATTCCTGCCCAAGCCTTCCCCCCTTTTCCTGGAAGGATTAAGGAGATCCTGGGCCTCAGTGTCCTGCACCCTCACCTCCAGACCCTCACAGTCTCTCTTGATACATTTAAGATCCCCCTGAAAGCATCACTCGTGCCCACGCG